GAGAGGGCAATTCTGTATTCATCAATCAGTGCTTTACAATTACATGAGGATATCCTTTTATACTGCTAACTAATCCCTACTTAACAGACTAACCACCATCTAATTACAAATGAAGACCCTAAACCCATCCACATCAGCAGCTCCACGTTAGCAAGCCTGTGTTGGACTGTATCACAATCGTACGCTAAGACCCCTAATCAAGAAACCTAAGTAGCAGAAAACCCTACTTCAAATGAAATCATCAATCGCAAACAAAAACGAAGAACAGAAAAATGAACGACTTACTAGGGCTCTCGAACATGAAGGTGACGGTGTCGCTGCCGTCATCGGCCTTGATGGTGATGATATCATCATTTCCAGCACACTTGAACATCTTGGACATATTATCCAGATTCATCCCCATGGACATGTTCCTATCGCAGCGATAGTGCTCGAACCCCTCCGATCTGAGCAGCAGAGACACCAGCGCGACGTGACTCGAGTCCATCGCCTGCAGCGAGAACCCCGTCGATGAGCAGTCAAAGTTGGCATCCTTGACCAGCTCCTTGATCGCATCTAGCACCTTCTTCAGCAGCGAACCCTGTACCAACCTCAGTTCCAGCATCTTTAGAGCTTTGGTTTCAAATCAAGATTAGGGTTTTCTCGAGAGATGATGAAGATGAAATTGACTCAATTGATTTTACAGAAAGAAAGGAATGGGTTTATATATTGTGGGAAATTGTTTTGAATTTAGGGTTTTAGTTGGCGGGATTTGGGGGTTTTGCGTTCCCGCCAGAGGATTTGTCAGTTGGGAAAAAGGAGAAGGAGAGATGATTGCGTATTAGTGTTCCACGGTGTTACCCTGCACCTTCCAATTTTGGGTTTTTTGGACTTACAGGGGAAACTTGTTGGGCCCAAATCCAGATACCGGCATGAAATTGAAAACATTACATCGACCCATTAGTTAACGTTTCCATTCCGAATTTCCAATCCAACAGAAACCTCAAGACTCTCTTTTATTTATTTATTATTATTATTTTTTGAAGTAAAAGCCTTACTGGAGATAATAATTATAAAAAAATCAATTTGTTTTAATCCCATTTTTACAAGGTTTTTAGCAGTATAGAAAAAACAAATAAATAAATAAACAGTAACATTCTAGGGTAAAATGGAATAAGGTCTACTGCCTGTGTTTGTGTGTGGGAAACGGTCAAACTCAAGCACATTAGATGTACATTTCAAGTATCATGATCAGTGCCCAACACTGAAAGAAGTACTGTATTAATTTTACAAAATTTTTCCCAAGAATTGAACTTGGTTAGAAATAAATGTACATATCAACCATCTTATTCTCCAAAAAATAATACTAATAAAAGAAAATTAGGTCCCATTGAAAAGAAGCTGTAACTTTATGATTTAGTATATCATAAACCATAATCATGGTTAATTAACCAATACATGCAAAAACTACAGAACAAAGCAAAGCTTAACATGAGTAAATGAAGCAAACCATCTAGCTTACTGGTGTCTTCTACTGAGGGATGTTTTCAGATTGCAGATGCCCTTTATTTCCCCTCTCCACGAGCATTTTTATTCTGCTATTGCTATAAAACCTGCACCCACAGTTACAGATCATGGAAGGAATTGTGGTCCAAATTTCTTCGGTATACTGAAAGATTG